AGAAAATCGAGGGAAGTCATTCTGGGCCTATGGACCGAAGAGGCTGCATAGAGGGACTGGAAGTATTCTAGGATGGCTGCCTCAATTTCCTTGGGATGGGTAAGAGAACAGTTGTCTTTTTTGAAGATAGAGATGGTGTTATCCCTTCTACGGCAGTTTGCTACTCGATGGAAGAATCCCGTGTTAAGGTTCCCTGCTTTGAACCATTTCACATGAGATCTCTGGAACTAGAACAGTTCTTCTTTCTTAATGTTCGCAAAGTAATCCAATCATGCAGAGGATCTAAAGGTAGCTTCTTGGTTAGAAAGAGGCATGGTTTCCTCTAAGCGATCTAGAGATTGGATAATGTGAAGGAGGGAAGCTTTATTTTGGGAGTAGTTCCCTAGAATGGACTTGCTCCAGTTTTTCAAGGCTGCTTTGAGGAGTTGAATTTTAGTTTGTAGCCTGTATCCTGCTCTTCCCGAGACCAGTGTGGACATAGAGTTCCACCAGAGAGGAATCAACATTAAGAGGGAGTCCTCTTGAAGCTATGTCAGTTCGAACCTGAACTGCTTTGGGCCTCTGTGTACAACAACTGTTTCTAGGAGAATGGGGCAGTGGTCAGAAGTAGGTTTGGGAAGAGAGAGGGCATGAGAACCAGGGAACACCTGCTCCCATTCGATAGAGAGCAGGAATTTGTCAAGCTTGGACAAGGTGGGTTGAAGAGAGTGGCTGAACCACGTGAACCGATTTCCTTGAAGTGGGATGTCAATTAGTTCATTGCGGGATATGAAGTCAGAGAAGGCATTCATACCCCTAGAGTGGGTTTGGGCAGAGTTCCTTTCGTGTGACCATTATTATGGTGTTAAAGTCCCCCCCCCCCAAAGTACCAGCAGGGGTGTCGTAGGGAAGCAATTTGATCCAATTCAGCCCAAAACTTGGGTCTTTCTGCGTCAAAATTAGGACCGTAGATAGCCGTGAATTTCCAATGGAGCCCATCAGAGGTACGAGAAAGTAGGATAGTAACCGAGAAGTCTCCTGAGTGAGAGGAGACCAGAGTATTATCTGAAGGGTCCCAGACTAGATAACCCAGATGCCGCCTGCGGCCCTGTTAGCAGGCCGTGATACCCATTGGCTAGGTCTGCGTCCTCAGACTTGGCAAATAAGAGGGAGGGTAGGCTCAGGAAGTTTGGTTTCAAAGAGGGCCAGGATGGTGGGTAAGAACTTTGCAGTCATATCCTTGATTGCGCTTCTTTTGCGTGACTGGCGCAATCCTCTGATATTCCACGAAAGGAGCTTCATGGGTCCGGGTGGAATTCAGGGGTAGCTTCCTGGGTAGAGGTCAACCTGGCTGACCGTCTCGGGAGCATTGAAGTGTGAGCCAACTGAGTTGGCGGCCACATGTAGAAGAGAGGAAAAGAGGTTCAGAAGTTCCCACTGTGCCTTGAGTGCACCTTCATGCGGCTTTGAGCATCAGCCTCTAAGAAGAGGTGAGCTGGTCCCTTAGGTTCGTCATGTTCGAAGACCATGACTTCATAAATCTCCTTCATCTTATCAAGGTCTCTGTCTTGATCTTCCCTTTTAGCCTCGTCATTGGTGTTCATTTCTACAGGGTGGGAACTAGATTCAGCTTCAGGCGTGATAGCTTGAACAGGGAGGGGGAAGGTGTTGTCAGGATGTGACTCCGGGAAGGAAGAGGATGCTGGGGTAGAGGAAACATGGGGCACATAAATGAGAGGTGCATGCTCCTGGTGAAGGGGAGGAGGAGCAAAGGCAGTGAAGAGGGCGAGTTATAGGGAGGGGAGGAAGAGGAGAGAGTGGGGAGGGAGGAAGAGGAAATAGTGGGGAGGGGTAAAGGTTCCTGAGGTGGAAGGGGTGAAGGATCCTCGAAGGGTACTCGTAAGAAGGAAGGGATGAGAAACTCGAAGGTGGAAGAAAAGTGAGGCAAGAGGAGGTGCCAAAGGAAGACTGAGAAGGAAGGTAGGCAAGGTAGTGGTGAACGTGCATGGAAGAGTAGTCTGCTGACAGGTAATGGTAAGGGGGGGATAGCGGAGATGCATCATTCTAACATGGCAGACACGAACAAGGTGGAGGGCGTAGGGGAGGTGAGGGGACAACAGACCTGTGACTACATTGGGGTTTGGAGGGGAGAGGGCAGTAGAGTGAACCGTGGCTAAACCAAAGGGGAGCAGGTTCCTGTCCATGACCTTGTAGGGTGTCGAAGCAACTGAGGTAAAGGGGAAGGGAAAGAACAAAAGAGAGGTGATAACATAAGAGGGAAGGAGCATAGGAACGGTGGCAAACTCAAGCGGGAGAAACGGCGATGGGAGCAAGGGGTGCAAGAGAAGAGGGAGTAGGTAGAGGGGTGCAGGAGGGAGTAGGTAGCAGAGAGAAGGGAGCAGGGACAAGGTCGGAGGAGGCAAGCGAGGGGGCACGAAAGGAATGGGAGGGGTTGGGGTCGATGTAAGGGGGGGTACACTCGTCGACCGACGACGCAGGGATGGAGAGGGCGGGGGGGATAGGTAGGATTGAAGGTTGAGATGGTGGTGTACACGGCACAGGTGTTGACCCCACAAGTTGCAACTGGGGACACGTAACGGTTGGAGATGCGGGGGGCAAACGTGGCAAGGGGCTCGAGGGCGGCAATGTTAAGGGAGGTATGATGGGGGTTAAAGAGAGAGAGGAAGATAGTGGGCTAGAGAAAGGAGGATGGCCCGAAGGGGAGCCCGAGGGGGAGTCCGAGGGGAGAGGGATAGTGGGGTGGGGCTGAGGCCCAAATTTAGGTTGAACAAGGCGAAGCCCAAGCCTAGAAGTTCCAGCAGCACACTTGTCGGGCCGGGAATACAAGTTGATTGAGGAGAGGGGAAGGGTTGGTGGACGGGCGTCTTTGGTCTTGTCAAGCAAGTGACAGTTGGCACCAGGGGCTTGCCAGCAAAGAGGTCGAAGTCTAGAGCCAGCCGGAGAAGCTCTAACAGTTTGCTGGGAAGATCTATTCCGTTTGACCAAAGTCCACTGAGAGTGTTCTTTACTGTGCTCCCGAGAACGGAAAGGGCGATGAAAGAAGTCGGGAGAAGGCGGAGATGCTGGAAACCAAGAAAAGGAGGTCGGAAAAAAACGATCTTAAATCTTCAACCAAACTTTGGAAGGGATTTGGTAAGTCCAGCACTTCCAATATATTATCTTATGTAATATATTATTTCTTCTTATAGTTGTAAATAAGACTTTTTAAATTAGTTGATATTATAAGATATTTTAGATTTGTTCTTATTTATATAGTAAAATAGTTACAAAATATAAAATAAAAATGTAAATCTCAGTATAATATTCTAGTTTGTTAGGTTGTGATAATTTTGGATGAATAAAGCGAATTAATAAATATTTGTTACTTTCTTCCATTATGACGCAGTTCAAGAGCAATGGAGTTTGGTCTAGCTTGAACTGTCAAGTGTAGTGATGCTACTTCATATCCAAATAATGTAGAAGCATCCCGAATTATTTTTATATTAGATTGGCCATGGTAATGTAGAATGAGCCTAGAGCTTTGTCAAATGAACTTATTGGAAACAAAGAAAAAGTGTATCATGTGAAACTTACTGAGATATATTCAAATTGGTGGCAATCAATTTCGGATATTTGTCAAATAGTCAACCTTATTTTACTAATTTGATTTGGAAAGCGTTAACGACCAGTTCCAACATATCAACTTCACTTAGATGAACTTGAATTGATGTCATTTGATCCCAGTGATATTGGTTGTGATTCCAGAGGATGATATTGGTTGTGATGGCAGAGAATGATTTTACTGACTTCGAGCTGCATCTTGCACTTTTTTGTTTTTGTTTTCTTTGTGCAACACTGTTTTACTGACATTAAGCTGCTTCTATAACTCTTGAAACCTTTTCAGTGGAACAAGAATATGTCCCTAAACTTCTGGGAAACACCTGTAAACCCTTGGGAACAACTTGATTGTACAGTTCTAAAAATCATTGAAAATTGTGATTTAAGTATGTTATTGAAGTAGCGAAAATTTGGCATTTCCAACTTTGTGGTGAACTCTGAATTTGAGATCAGAATTGTTCATTGAGCTGCATCCTTACTAGCCATATTCTTTTCTAGGATAGACTCTCAGTCCTGATTACAATGATTCCCAAGCATTTCCCATCACGTGTGTTGTGTTGGGACTGATAGAGGCATATTATGCATTGTAAGAAAATATGGTTTCTCTTGTGGTCATAGAATATACCTAGCTAACCAATTTCATATGATTGATCTTAGAACTGTGTGATCTTCCTGCCAATTCACAAGCTAATTGAGTCCATGTGCTTATTGGGGACATCACTTTTTGGTTTGCGCTATGTATTATGTTAACTGTTTGTGGACGACTAAATAAAAAAATTAATGGGTGCAGCATTATTTGGCTTAGTAATTTTTTTGGAGAAAAAAATTTGCTGTGGCATTGAAATCTAGATTATGTTGTTGTTCCATGGCTTGGAGTAGGGACTGTTGCCTGTTGAAGTTGGTGGGTATTTGAGGCACAACAATATTCATGTGATTAAGCCATATCATAGGGCTTGCTTCATCGTGAAGTGGACTGTGTACTTATTGTGATAGATGTGTAGGGTTATGATCATTCTCCATTAGTTATTGTGATAGATGCATAGGGTTATGATGATTCTCCATTAAATATTTGTATTGATTGTTTTGATTTCATCTATGTTAATGTGTATTTATGCTGGAGATTTGAATCTTGGAGGCGGTGATGAAATATATTGGATTTTTGATGGGCCATTGTGTTTGTAGTTTTCTTTTTGACTGGTATCAATATTTATGCTTTTGAATAATTTGCTTACCTTTTCTCTGTAGATTTTTATAACAGGTTATTAGTAATATTTGTTTCAATTTTTTGTTTCTTTTTTATATTCCTCTACTTCCTGAATCTCAGTATTTGTTAAGAAGAGTCGCTTCTCTGAGATTGTTTGATAGATTCACTTTTCATATTTTGTGTTTGTTGATTATTACAGGCTGGCACCTTTGTAGCAATTGTGAATTTCTTGTGCTACACCTGTACATATTCATCAAAGATGCAGATTTTTTCTGCGTTTGTGGCAACAAAGGATTTTGTAATGCATGTTTTACAACAATAATGTTGATTGAAAAAAATCAGGCTAATACGGTGTTGTCCCTGGCTTAAGATGATTATGTTAGCATTTCTTTTTCTAAAGTAGTGATATTGAGTGGAGTACAATAGTGATTGTTCTTCGAGTGTATATAGAACTAAATTCATTTTTTGTTTAATTTTTTTATCACATGGGTGAATGATTCAATGTGTTTTTCTTTACTTGATTCAAACTTGTTACTTGTTCTTTCTCCTCATTTAGTGCTAACATAGTTTATACATGCCAACAATGAGTTTTCAATTGTGAATGATGTTCAAAATTTTGGATTTGGGAGTCTAGGCGGGTGCTAGTATGCCTGCAAATCTAGGCAGCGCAAACAGGGATCAAGAGAGACCCACTAGGTTGTTTTAGGGGCTTGAAGTTGGATCCCAAAACCTCCCAAATCAACGGATTGATATATATATATATATATATATATATATATATATATACACACATCGTACACGAGACGTACTACCCAACCAACGAAGGTACGTACTACCTACTCGTCCGTACGGTTCTACGTCGGTACCGTGACGCCGACGTCCGTCCCGTCCTCCGTCGGGA